TCCAGCCTGGGAGACAGAGAGACTCTGTCTCAAAAAAAAAAAAAAAAAAAAAAAAATTAATACACTCGTCAGACAATAGAAAGGTCTCCGCTGTAGGCACAGATTCTGACCCATTTCTGGGAATGAGGAAGTTAACGGAAGAGTGTGTCTGTGAGGCGGACTGGAGGGCCCATTGGGAACATTCCAGGGTGTTCCAGCGAGAGACCAGGGAACCAGAGAGGAGCTCAGCTCAGACGTCACGGGCACAATGGGCCGGGAGTGAGGAAGACACTGAGGTCGGGGTTTGTTCCCAGCTGGAAGAACTGGCCCCAGGACCACCCAGACAGACACGCCACCCTAACCCCCCTACAGCCAGAGGAAGGTCAGGAGGCCCTTCCCTAAACATGTTTTTGAGAATTGGTGTAGCTATTTTAAAAAACGCTGCTGGGCGCGGTGGCAGTTACTTTAAAAGTAGCTGCTGTGGACCCAGCTACTTGGGAGGCTGAGGTGGGAGGATCGCTTGAGCCTGGGAGTTGGAGTCCAGCCTGGGCAGCATCACAAGACCCCATTTCGTTAAAAAAAAAAAAAAGCTCATGCTTGCATTCTAGCTTCAAGGGCTCCTGGTAACCAGGCGTCTCTGGAGCTCGGCCCACACAAAGCCTGGGGTCGAGAGCCCACTCACACGTACGGCACTGCCCACCTTGCTGTCGCTTTATTTTTAAATACGAAATTCGAGGTGACAAAGATTACCAGCTGCCGAGGGAAGTCTGCAAATGCAACAAAAGGTCCAGATGAACAATGGGAGACGCGCCTGCATTCCACTGGGTAAACCACAGAAGAGAACAGAATGCGGCGGACTCCAAGCAGCTCGGCTGCCCTGATGGGAGCGGGGCAGGACAGAACACAGCAAAGCTTGGAAACCGCCCTCCGGAGACCCACACGCACAACCCCCAAGAAAACACTAAAGAACCGCGCTGGGAGACAAAACAGAGGAAATGGAGTGTACGGAATAAGCATGAGGAAACCCAGGACAGGAGGCAAAAAGGAAGCTCCAACAGTCCAACCCCTGCCCGAAACCCTCGCCAGACGGAGCTCAGAAAGGAGGGGAGAAGGAATACCGGCGACTGGAAATTCCCTGGACTGGAGGCAGAGGGACAGCCCCAGGGAGTGAAAAATATGAAGTCACGGCGTTCCGGGGGAAGAGGGGTTGCCCACACAGCGCCGGGCGCGATGTGGCTCCCGTCAACCAAGCATGCACAGACGGACGGTGGCGCGGTCACCTCCTGAGGGAAAAAGGTTTACCACCCGAAGTGCACATCCAGCAAAACTACTGATCCGTAATAAGGGCAGAATAAAGACACGGACGGGAGGACTGGGGAGTGAATTCCCGCAGACCCATGGTGAGGGGGTGGTTGCAGGGCCCACGGATGGAACAGGGCTTAGTCTGCTTTGCACTGCTCCAGAGGAATCCCCGAGGCTGGGTAATCTATAAAGAAAAGGGGTGGGTTTGGCTCATGGTTGTGGAGGCTGTACGGGAAGCGGGAGGCGTGGCACCAGCATCTGCCTCTGGTGAGGACCCCAGGGAGCCTCCCGTCACGGCAGAAGGGGAGGGAGCAGGTGTCACAGGAAGGATGGCCTGGAGTGCAATTGTGCATGTCCTTGGTGCTTGAACAAACAAGTAGTAGACAAAACATGCAAAGTAAGAACAAGACACAGGAAGGAAGCCGCGAAAGCAGGGATCTATTAAAGCAAGAAAGCTCAGAGTAGGGTGGGAGTGGGCGCTGTTACAAAGTTTTCTGGGTTGTTTTTTTTTTTTTTTTTTTTTTTTTGAGAGGGAGTCTCACACCGTCGCCTGTCGCCTGGGTTGGAGTCCACTGGCGCCATCTCGGCTCACTGCAACCTCCGCCTCCCGGGGTCAAGCAATTCTCCAGCCTCAGCCTCCCGAGTAGCCACCACATCTGGCTAATTTTTGTGTTTTTAGTAGAGACGGGGTTTCTCCATGTTGGCCAGGCTGGTCTTAAACTCCCGGCCTCAGGTGATCCGCCCACCCCACCCTCCCAAAGTGCTGGGATGACAGGTGTGAGCCACCACGCCTGGCCAGTTTTCTGGGTCTTAAGTTTACCTTTCATGATTCCTATCCCCCTTATCTGGATGAAAGATTTGGTCCATGGCTAATCAAAGCTGCGGTGAACTGGTGTCTGCAGGTGAAAGGATGGCCCACAGCCAGTCCACGGCACTTTCCTTGCCGTCTGGGACATGGTGGGGGTTGGGGGTTGTAGGGAGAGCAGCCTTTGATCCTTTACTACTGGGCGTGGGGCTTTTCCTTATGGTGCAGTTTTTGGAAGTTGGTTGTTAATTGGCCCTGGGTTCCCTGCCCCAGACCTCGGTGTTTTTCCTGGATCCACCGTGCATTGGCCTCGGACTCTCGCCCCCCTGACCTTGGTGTCTTCTCTTTGAGGAAGTCAGCACAAATTAGCGTCCCATTCCCTGCCCCAGGCCTCGCTGTTTTTCCTTGATTCCGCACGAGTTGGCCTAAGTTCACTACCCCCAGAGCCTATTCTCCTGTTCACAGTCATCGCTGGCGGCGAGGGAGCCAGAGAGTGATGGGGGAGGTGCCAGGCTGGTTTTAACAGTTCTCTTCCGAACTCACTCATTACCTCCAGAACTGCACCAAGCCACTGATGAGGGGCCTGTCCCCATGACCCCAAACCCCCCAACACTGGGATCCAGTGTCCACGTGAGATTTGGACAAACGTTCAAACTCCACCAGGACTGTAAACCAAACAAAGGGGGAAGACCTTCCGTGCAGACGTTAAGTGGGCACGGAGATTCCAAGCTGGGAGCAGCACGTTGGACGAGGGAGGCTCTGGAGGCAGCGAGGGAGGTTGCAGAGTCCAGACTTGGAAGATGGAAGATAAGGGCACCCCGTGTAGGGCAGGAGAAGAAGCAACTGGAAACTCCGGGACAGACTGTAAAACCCCATGGGAAAGACAGGTTTAAGGTCTTGATCTGAGGCTGGTTCTGAGTGGCTGGTGCCTTCGTGCTCACGGCAGGACTGTCGTAAAGTAGGTACCTCCGTGACTTCTACAGACAAAGAGACTGAGGCCGAGAAATCTAACCAGCTCACCCACGCTGCCCTTGGATGGTGGCCGTGAGATGGGAACCCACAGCCTACCAGGCCCAGCCCCCAGGACACCCTCTTGTTAAGTCAGTGGCTTTGAGCCTCAGAAATGGTGCAAAATGCAGCCCAGGCAGGGCCTTCGACCCCGGTCTGGTGCTCGGAAGACATGCACCTGCTTCTACCCCCACCCCACCCCCCGCTGTGAGGCCCTGAGATTCTTGTGATGTCTGAAGAAGGATGCTGCATTTTCATGTTGCACTGGGCCCTGAATGATGAAGCTGAGTGATACGGTTTGGCTCCGTGCCCCACCCAAATCTCATCTCAGATTATAATCCCCACGTGTCAAGGGAGAGACCAGCTGGAGGTGGGGGCCGTTCCCCCCATGTTCTCGTGGTAGTGAGCAAGTTCTCACAAGATCTGTTTGTTGTTGTTGTCGTTGATGCTGTTTTTTAAGACAGAGTTTCTCTCTTGTTGCCCAGGCTGGAGCGCAGTGGCACGGTCTCGGCTCACCGTAACCTCCACCTCCCGGGTTCAAGCAATTCTCTTGCCTCAGCCTCCCAAGTAGCTGGGACTACAGGCACCCGCCACCACGCCCGGCTAATTTTTTTGTATTTTTAGTACAGACGGGGTTTCACCGTGTTAGCCAGGATGGTCTCGATCTCCTGACCTCGTGATCTGCCCGCCTCGGCCTCCCAAAGTGCTGGGATTGCAGGCGTGAACCACCATGTCCAGCTATTTTAAAGTTTTGTACTTTGTTCGTTATGGATTTTTTTTTTTTACATGAATTCTGATGTTTTAAAAATATTGAATGAAAATACTATTTATCATGACCTAGGCATAGTGGCTCATGCCTGTAATCTCAGTAGTTTGAGAGACCAAAGCAGGCAGATTGCTTGAGGCCGGGAGTTGGAGACCAGCCTGGGAAACATGGGGAAGACCCTGTCTCTACAAAAAATACAAAAATGAGCTGGGCGTGGTGGTGCACACCTGTGGTCCCAGGTACTCAGGAGGCTAAGGCAGGAGGATTGCTTGGGCCCAGGAGGTGCAGGTTGTAGTGAGCTGAGACGGAGCCACCGCGCTCCAGCCGGGCGATCCTTCTCCCTGCCGGTCTCCGCGCTGCGAAGCCTCTGACCAGTGTTCCCTCCTGCTCCTCCCAGCAGGCCTGGTTTAGCCCCAGTGCTCAGCCCACCGTCCCCCAGAACCCCAGACACCGCCTAGCCCTGGGATGGAGACTCTTCGGACAGGGCACCGCCTGGGAACTGTGTTTCCAGGAGCCCTCGGACAACTTCAGTGTGCTCTGCCGAGGCCTAGAAAGGCCCCGGTTCTAAGGACATGTCCAGCTGCTTGGCGAAGTCTGTAGCTGCACTGTGGGTCCCTGTGACGCTGGAGGGGTGCAGACCCCTCGGCGTTAGAGCAGGCGTCAGGGGCACACCTGGGCTGTGCAGCAGCTTCCTGAAACGCCCAGATGTTTTCCCCTACGGCTAGCCACGTGAGATGATTTTTATGCGGAAAGAGGTGCTTCATGAGAATGCACTACTTGAATGACTGTTTTCTTGTTTGCAGATCTAGGCCCCGGGTCCTGAGGGAGGTGGTAATAATTAATAACAGCAGCACAGCGAGGGCTGACAGCCACTCACCACTCATCCTGTGCTGGGCCCGCTCTCAGCCTGCTGTCCTTTCATCTGGGCTCTAGCCCCACCCCTGGGTCTGGGATCCCAGCTTCTTACTATGCCTCCGCCTAGCCCAGACAGCAACGCCCAGCCACTGGGTGTCCGGCCTTCCATCCCACCCACGCTGGCAGGGAATGTGCTGGTTACTTATTGAACATGGGAAGCTATAAACAGGACAACGGCCAGCTATCATCGCTTCCACCCAACGCCTCTGGTGCCTCTTCTGGCAGGCAGAGCGACTCCTCACAGCCTGAAACTCGTCCTCCTGCACGGGCCGGCCAGGCCAGCACAGAGGCACCAGGGCAGCAGCGCACGCAGGTCCCTGGGGACCCTGCCATGTGGACCAGATGGTGGCTCTGGCCCCTTGTGGCCGTCTGCACTGCAGACTTCTTTCGGGACGAGGCAGAGAGGATCATGAGGGACTCCCCTGTCATTGATGGGTGAGTGCCCACCTAAGCCAGGTGTTTAGGGAACCAGGACTGGGAACTGGGGCTGGGGGAGCCGGGTGGGGGGAGCCGGGCGGGGGGAGCCGGGCAGGGGGAGCCGGGGCTGGGAGCCGGGGGTGTGCCCTTGGCTTGGGGCTCAGTTTCTGCGATGGTACTAGGGCCCTTGCCTTTCCTGGCCCCTGCTTCTTTGTGGGGTCTCTTAGGGCCCCCAAAGACTTCAACAGATGAAGGTCTGCAGGGTCAGGGCAGGAGGGAGGCAAGGCCCCAGCTCCCTCACCCCGAAGCTCAGCGTGAGCTCTGCGCCTGGGGACGCTGAGGCCCTGCGCCCCGTCTCTCCCGGTGCCTCAGCTTCTCCCGAAAGCTGCAGATGTGGGTGGTGCCCTACAGGCCCTCTCAGCTGGCATCTTTTTTGCCGCCTTCCCCTCCCCCTGGCCTGCCTTCTCCCAGGGGAGGCCCGTGCGGTTCAGCCCCTGTCCGTGCTGCCCTGAGTGCCCGCCTGGCCCCACCCCGACCTCGCTGGGGTGCTGGGGTCACCTGTTTCTCTCCTGGTCTCCACAGGGTGGAGATTCCCACTGCCCGGGAATCTGACCCTCCTCCCCGCCCCTTCCTGGCCCAACGCCCCGACACTGGGTCTCCATGGAGGCCTCCTGCTCCCAGGCTCCAGACCGGGGTCCACACTGGCTCCGCATTGGGGTGGGAGGGCCACTGAGAGTCCGCCCTGTGTCTGGCACGGCGTCTCCTCCTGGAAGATGTCTCTGGGCTTTGCTGGGGAAAAACTCTGAACAAAGCAGGGAAACCTGATGTCTTGTTGTGTAAGAACTTCAGGGAACCGGCCAGGCTGGGCGGTTCACGCCTGTCATCCCAGCACTTTGGGAGGCCAAGGCGGGCGGATCACCTGAGGTCAGGAGCTCAAGACCATCCTGGCCAACATGGCAAAACCCCCTCTCTACTAAAAATACAAAAAATTAGCCAGGTGTGGTGGTGGTCGCCTGTAGTCCCAGCTACTCAGGAGGCTGAGGGAGGAGAATCACTTGAACTCGGGAGGCGGAGGCTGCAGTGAGCAGTGATCGGGCCACCGCACTCCAGCCTGGACAACAGAGCGAGACTCCGTCTCAAATTTAAAACACTTAAGGGAGCAGAGGCAGCTCCAGAAAGGGAGCCGAGGGTGGTCCCATGCATCCTCATGGTTGAAAATGGTCACGCCAGCTCCAGCCCTCACATCTGTACGCCAGCCAGCAGGGAGGAAGGAGAGATAAAGAAGGGAAAAAGGACAAGCAGCAGGTGACTGTCAGGGTCAGGGTTTGTTTTGAGACAGAGTCTCTGTCGCCTGTCACCCAGGCTAGAGTGCAATGGTACGAACTGGGCTCACTACGACCTCCACCTCCCAGGTTGAAGTGATTCTCCTGCTTCAGCCTCCCGAGTAGCTGGGATTACAGGCGCCCGCCAACATGCCCCGCTAATTTTTTTGGTATTTTTAGTGGAGACGGGGTTTCACCACGTTGGCCAGGCTGGTCTCGAACTCCTGACCTCAAATGATCCACCTGTCTCGGCCTCCCAAAGTGCTGGGATTCCAGGTGTGAGCCACCATGCCCGGCCAGGGGTCAGTTGTTAGAAGCTGTTACAGGACCCACCTTCATCCCTTGGCCACGGCCAGCGACACAGGGGCAGGAAATAACTTCAATCCAGATGGCTGTGTGCCCGCTAAAAATGGGGGGTTTTAAAGTTACAAAGTAAAACAGAAGAATGGGTCCCGGGGGCAGCCAGCAGTCTCCCCCACAAACAGCTGCCTCAGTGTGTGTTTGCTGCAATTCCAGCACTTTCCAGCACTCCTTGGAGCAGGATGAAGGATTCCATATCCCAGCTAAGGGCACTGCCCCAGCCGCCCAGATAAGGAGGGTGGGTCTGATTAGCTGCAGTTTGACCTGGCCATGAGGCAGGCAGGGCCCGTGTCCCACTGAGAAACCGGAGGCCCCACCTTCCCATCGCTTTCTCCAGCAGGAGTGGAGAGGGCTGGCCAGGCATGGCGACTCACACCTGTGGTCCCAGCACTTTGGGAGACTGAGGTGGGAGGATCGCTTGAGCCCAGAAGGTTGGGGGCTACAGTGAGCTGTGACTGCACCCCTGCCCTCCAGCCTGGGCAACAGAGTGAGACCCTGTCTCTTTTTCTTTCTTTTTTTTTTTTTGAGACGGAGTCTCGCTCAGTCGCCCAGGCTGGAGTGCAGTGGCGAGATCTTGGCTCACTGCAAGCTCCGCCTCCCGGGTTCACGCCATTCTCCTGCCTCAGCCTCCCAAGTAGCTGGGACTACAGGCGCCTGCCGCCTCGCCCGGCTAATTTTTTGCATTTTTAGTAGAGACGGGGTTTCACCGTGTTAGCCAGGATGGTCTCGATCTCCTGACCTCGTGATCCGCCCGCCTCGGCCTCCCAAAGTGCTGGCATTACAGGTGTGAGCCACCGTGCCCAGCCTAGACCCTGTCTCAAAAAAAAAAAAAAAAAAAAGAAGAGGGGCTGCAGGAGGAGGAGGGAGGGGAGAGCAGACAGCTGCCCCGTTGCAGCCTCTCCCTCCAAGGGCGGCTGCTGGGAATTCCTACCCATCCCAGGCTAATGTCTGAGATGGGCCACCTGTGTCCTCAGGCCAAGGAGTAAAGTCTCCTGGGAACCCTGCCTAGCCCCGCCCAGGACAGTGCCCAGTGTAGGGCTGCACCCTAGCAATGAGGCTGCTGCCTGGGCAGGGTCCCTGGCTGGAGCTCCTTCCCACTGCCCTCAGCAAATGCGTCCTGAGCACCCGCTCTGTGCCGAGGGCTGGGCAGAGGCACGTGCCAGTGCTGGCTGTCATGTGGACTCGCTGTGGCCAGAGACAACCTCGCTGTTGCAGGAGTTTTAGGAGACCAGCATCAGGCCTGTGCCCACCCATCTGCCCAAGGGCGGGGCCAGAAAGTGTGCCACGCTGGGCTTGGGGGCACCAGCCCAGGGCAGGTCAGGAGCGACTGGGACCCAGGAAGGGCAGAGCCCTCCCCTCGTTTCCCCCGAGGAGCTCCGTGGTGCATTTGCCTTGGAAAAGCTCATTGCGGGCCTGTAGATTTGGGCTGGGTCACCGAGAGCAGGGCCCACGGCTGGAAACGATGAACACTGTTAGTCCTCTGCCTCTCCCAGCTGCCCTGCAAGGAAGGCACCAAGACACCTTCATGTTCCAGATGGGGAAACTGAGGCACAGAGGGGAGGGTCTGGAAACTGGATATGGAGGGGCCCCGGCGGCCCCATCCCAGCACACACCCTCTGAGGGTGTCTCCCCGAGACAGGGGCGCAGCCAACATCACAGGAAGGAGTCTGAGGCCCCAGACCCAGTGACGGGAAAGGGGAACCCCAAGCATTGCCCGGGGTTGGGGCTCAGGCTCCAGCCCCTTCCCAACCTTCTTGCAGCCTCCGGGTCACGGGATCAGGGACGAGGGCTGTCTGGGGCTGTAGTGGGGCCTGGTCAATCCCAGGAGTCAGATCTGCTGGTTGAAATACAGATCATAAGGCCGGGCGCGGTGGCTCAAGCCTGTAATCCCAGCACTTTGGGAGGCCGAGACGGGCGGATCACGAGGTCAGGAGATCGAGACCATCCTGGCGAACACGGTGAAACCCTGTCTCTACTAAAAATACAAAAAACTAGCCGGGCGAGGTGGCGGGCGCCTGTAGTCCCAGCTACTCCGGAGGCTGAGGCAGGAGAATGGCGTAAACCCGGGAGGCGGAGCTTGCAGTGAGCTGAGATCCGGCCACTGCACTCCAGCCTGGGCGCACTCCAGCCTGGGCGACAGAGCCAGACTCCATCTCAAAAAAAAAAAAAAAAAAAAAGAAATACAGATCATAGCCGTGGCGCTGGAGCCTGCTGGTCCCAGCACTTTGGGAGGCCGAGACGGTGGGATCACGAGGTCAGGAGATCGAGACCATCCCGGCCAATACGGCAAAATCTCTACTAAAAAATACAAAACTAGCTGGGTGATAAGGGCGCCACCCCAGCTACCGAGGCTGAGGCAGGAGAATGGCGTGAACCCAGGAGGCGGAGCTTGCAGCGAGCTGAGATCTGGCCACTGCACTCTGTGCCTGGGCGACAGAGCGAGACTGCTCTCAAAAAAAAAAAAAAAGAAATACAGATCATAACCGAAACTGCCCTGGACCTGAGATGATTCTTTTTCCTTTCTTTTTTTTTTTTTTTTTTTTTTGAGATGGAGTTTCGCTCTGTCGCCCAGATTGGAGAGCCATGGCGCCATCTTGGCTCACTGCAAGCTCTGCCTCTGGGGTTTACGCCATTCTCCTGCCCCCCAGCCTCCCAGTAGCTGGGACTACAGGCGCGCCACCCGCCCCGGCTGATTTTTTTTTGTATTTTTAGTAGAGATGGGGTGTCACCGTGTTAGCCAGGATAGTCTCGATCTCTTGACCTTGGGATCTGCCCACCTCAGCCTCCCAAAGTGCTGGGATTACAGGCGTGAGCCACCGCGCCTGGCCTGAGAATTGCGTTTCTAACGAGAGTGGATTCCCTTTGCTCCTGGTCTCTGCCAGGCGCTGCTGGGCAGCTGGATTCTCGATCTGAGGTCGCCACCAGTCACTCAGCTCTGACAGCGCCAGCGCCCCTTTCCACTGTGTTCCTCTTCCTGCTCCTTACCAGAGCTCCTACTCCCGCCGCCAGCTCCTGGGAAAACTTTGGAGAGCCTCAAATCCTTGGAAGTTTAGAAGGTTCTGATTGGAGTTTGGGTGCAGTGGCTCTTCCCGAGACAGAGGCAGCAGAGAGGCCTGGGTGGCCCCCAAAGCCTGTACCTGACGCCCTGCTCCCCAGAAGGATGGGAGTGCCAGGCCCCCCGAGGACAGGCCATTCCAGTTATCCAGCCACCCACCGTATTCCCCAAGAGGCAACTGGATTTTTAAACTGAAAACTCTCAGAAACAGGTATCACCCCAGGCCCTTGCCCCTTTGCCCATGTCTCCAATCCTGTCCATTGAGGTCATTTGACTGCTTGTGTCCCACCTCAGACAACGGTTCCCGCCAGCCGCCCACACAGAGAAAGGCCCTGGAGGGGATGGGCTACTCCAGCTCCTGAGCTCCTGGCCAGGGCTCCCTGCCCTGGGGTGGGCACAGGTGGGAAGTGCAGCCTTGCACAGCCCGTGGCCAGCGATCCATCACCCCTGCGGCCTGGACTTCAGTCCGGCGCCTGCCGTGAGGAGCAGGAAGTGGGGAGCACAGCCCGGAGTTCAGGAGCTCACGAGCCCCCAGGTCCCAGTGGCTTTCCTGACTGCCTGGCCTCCCCCCGGCGACTCCAGGCACAACGACCTGCCCTGGCAGCTGCTGCGTATGTTCAACAACCGGCTGCAGGACGCGAGGGCCAACCTGACCACCTTGGCTGACACACACACCAACATCCCTAAGCTGAGGGCTAAGCCGTGGGGAGGTCAGGTACTGCCCGCCCCTGCCTCTCACTCACCCTGCGTGGGGTCATCCCGTTCCTACCTTGGCCTGGCTACAGTGTGGCCGCCCCTGTGGCGTTGTTCCTCCAGGGTCCTCAGTGCCACAGGCCCTTGTAGAGACAGACACTAAGCCGAGGGAGTGGCTTCCCAGGGTGGGAAACCAGACTCCCACAGGCATGTGGGGTGGACTGAGCTGGCCGCACTGGGGCTCCTGGCACCCCTGTGGCCCCTGTAGTTCTGGTCCGTGCACATCGCCTGCGACACCCAGAACAAAGACGCTGTGCGGACGCTGAGCAGATAGACGTGGTCCACCGCCTGTGCCAGATGTACCCTGAGACCTTCCTGTATGTCACCAGCAGTGCAGGTGGGGTCCTGACCTGGCCCCTCCAGGCCTGCACCTCCCACCCAGCCCCTCACCCTGAGCAGCAGGTACTGATCAGACACCTCCTCCAGACGCCAGGTGCCCACTCCTGCACTCGACTCTCCCCCCCGCGAGGCATCCGGCAGGCCTTCCGGGAAGGGGAAGGTGGCCAGCCTGATCGGGTGGGAGGGCGGCCACCCATTGACAGCAGTTCGGGCGCCCGGCGGGCGCCTATCGCTGGGCATGCGGTACCTGACCACCCACACCCGCAACACGCCCTGGTGCGTGACTCCCCACGGAGGCTCCCGGCTGTGGTCAGGAGGGAGGCAGACACTCCCCGCCACTCCTGAGCCTATCCTCCAATTGCGGAGTCCCAGGCCGGGCCTCGCCTGCTGGGCTGATGGGAGGCCGAGACCACCGCCCACCCCCTGGGCACCCGCCTTTGCCCGCAGGGCTGACAACTGGCTGGTGGACACGGGAGACAGCAAGCCCCAGAGCCAAGGCCTGTCACCCTTTGGGCAGGTGAGTGGGTGAGGCCAGTCACTCCCGGGAGGAGAAGGCAGAGGCCCTGGAGGGTGACAGGAACAATGAACCTCCCACGTGGGACCTCAGTACCATCTGTAAAATGGAGCTGGCAGCCATCCCCCAGGGTGGGTGCTGAGCCCTGAGTGGCTCCCGACTCCTGGGGGCTGTGAGGGTGGACTTGAGCCCTGTCTTCCCAGCGTGTGGTGAAGGAGCTGAACCGTCTGGGAGTCCTCATCGACTTGGCTCACGTGTCTGTGGCCACCATGAAGGCCACCCTGCTGTCCAGAGCCCTGTCATCTTCAGCCACCTCAGCCTACAGCCCAGCAAGCCGGCGCAACGTGCCTGGACGACCGTCCTGAGGCTGGTGTGGTGAGGGCCGAGGTAGTGCAGCCACCCCCACCCCACCTCCCGGACGGGCCCTCCCGTTCTCAGCTCCACCCCTGTCTTCCTGTGCAGAAACAGACAGACAGAGCCTGGTGATGGTGAATTTCTACAACAATTGAGGCTTCCTGCACCAACAAGGCCAACCTGTCCCAAGTGGCTGGTAGGTGGTGTGAGTGGCCAAGGGGGCTGGAAGCGAGGGCCTCACTCGGGACCCATACCTGCTGCTCCCTGACATCTGACCACATCAAGAGGCAGGAGCCAGAGCTGTGGGTTTCTGGTGGGACTTTGATGGTGTCTCCGGGTTGCAGTGGGGTGAGAGCTCTGTCCTGTGGATGAGCGAGGTCTATGACCCCGCTTGTATTATATGCTGGAGGAGGGACGTGTGTCTCAGTGGTGGTGGGCCCAGGTCTTCCCTGGCTCCTCAACACAGGCTCCTGAGGCTGAGGACGTCTCCAGCATCCCAGACCTGATCGCTCGAGCTGCTCAGGAGGAACTGGACAGAGGCGAGGTCAAGGTACCACAACAACTCTGAGGGTCTTGTAGGCTGTGGAGCAAGGTGAGGATGGGGTAAAGCCGCCTGAGCCTCCCAACCACCGCGCAGACAGGCTTCACCTGTGTCTGTCCTCAGGCCAGCAACTCCCACGCAGGCTCCCGAGGAGGAGCCTCATCCCGCAGGACGAGCGGGGCGGTTTCTGCAGGACGATACGGCTACCTCCGGGGCCTCCAGCCTCCATCGCCAGTGGGGGTTCCTGCTGGCCTCCTCGCTGCCCTGGTCCTCTGTCTGTGCCCCCAGAAAGCTGGGAGACCAGAGCCCCGTTTAGGGCTCCTGGAGTTCAGGGAAGACCTGCCCATCCAGACCTGACAGAACCCTACTGCCCGCGGGTGCAAGGACTAGCATCTCCTGAGCGGGTGTCTGGCCTCACCTGGGGCAGGACACCTGGGGACAGCCTGTGACACACACACACACAGGCCTCTCACAAAAGCAACATCCCTTTCACATCGGGGTGCGTGTCGTCGGCATCCAGGCCCAGGAGGGGTGTGGAACCACTCTGGCTGGACCTGCAGGAGGGCCTGAGTCTTCGGTTCAGGCCAGAAGGACCCAGGAGCTGTGAAGAGGGCTTTGTACAGATGCTGCTTGAACATCTTTCGGGACACAGTCTAGGCTCCAGTAGCCACCTCCAGCCACGCACTGGTGCACACACACACCCCTGCACACACACTTGCACACACACACCCCTGCATACACACTCCCTGTACACACACACCCCTGCACACACACCCCACCCCTGCACACACCCCACCCCTGTACACACACCCCTGCACACACACCTCTGCACACACACACCCCTGCACACGCACACCCCTGCACACACACACACCCCTGCACACACACACACCCCTGTACACACACACCCCCTGCACACACACACCCTGCACACACACACCCTGCACACGACACCAGCCCTGGGCACACACCCCCCACACACACACCCCCACCCCCTGCACACACACACACCCCTGCACACTTCCCACCCTGCACACCCCTGCACACACACACACCCCACCCCCTGCACACCGCGCACACACTCTCTGCACACACACACCCCTGCACACACGCACACCCTGCACACACCACCCTGTACACACACACACCCCTGCACACGCACACCACCCTGCACACACCCTGCACACACACACCCCAATTTCTGTACACACACACCCTGCACACACACACACCCCACCCCTGTACACACACACCACCCCTGTACACACACACACCCCTGCACACTTCCCACCCTGCACACACACCCCACCCCTGTACACACACACCCCTGCACACGCACACCAGCCCTGCACACACACCCCTGCACACACACCTCACTCCCTGCACACCCCCTGCACACTTCTCACCCTGCACACACACACCCCTGCACACGCACACCCCTGCACACGCACACCAGCCCTGCACACACACCCCACCCCTGTACACACACACACACCCCTGCACACTTCCCACCCTGCACACACACACCCCTGCACACACACACACCACCCCTGTACACTGCACACTCCTGCACACTTCCCACCCTGCACACACCCCCTGCACACACACACCCCACCCCTGTACACGCACACCCCTGCACACACACACCCCACCCTGTACACACACACTTCTGCACATGCACACCAGCCCTGCACACACACCCTGCACACACACACCCCACCCTCTGTACACACACACCCCCTGCACACACACACCCCCTGCACACACACACCCTGCACACACACCCCACCCTGTACACACACACCCCTGCACACGCACACCAGCCCTGCACACACACCCCTGCACACACACGTCCCACCCTGTACACACACCCCTGCACACCTTCCCACCCTGCACACACACACCTCCCTGGCACACACCCCCTGCACACGTGCACCAGCCCTGCACACACCACACACACCCCAGCCCTACACACACTCCTGCACACGCACACCCCACCCTGTACACACATGACATCCCTGCACACATGCACACCAGCCCTGTACACACACACCCCTGCACACACACCCCACCCCTCTGTACACACACACCCTCCCCTGTCACACACACCCCCTGCACACGCACACCAGCCCTGCACACACACCCCTGCACACACCCTACCCCTGTACACACACCCCTGCACACGCACACCAGCTCCTGCACACAGCCCTGCACACACACCCTGTACACACACACCAGCCCTGCACACGCACACCAGCCCTGCACACACACACCCCTGCACACACACACCCCACCCCTGTACACACACACCTCTGCACACGCACACCAGCCCTGCACACATACCTCTGCACACCCCACCCCTGTACACACACCAGCCCTGCACATGCACACCAGCCCTGCACACACACCCCACCCCTGTACACACACACCCCCTGCACACTTCCCACCCTGCACACACACCCTGCACACGCACACCCCACCCCTGTACACGCACACCCTGCACATGACAAATTCCACCCCTGTACACACACACACACCCCTGCACACGCACACCCCACCCCTGTACACACACACCCCCTGCACACGCACACCAGCCCTGCACACACACACCCCAAAAAAATATCGCACACCCTGCACACACGCACACCAGCCCTGCACACACCCTGCACACACACACCCCTGCACACGCACACCAGCCCTGCACACACACCCCTGCACACACACCCCACTCCCCTGTACACACCCCTGCACACGCACACCAGCCCTGCACACACACCCTGCACACACACCCCTGTACACACACACCCCTGCACACGCACACCAGCCCTGCACACACACCCCCGCACACACACCCCACCCCTGTACACACACACCCTGCACACGCACACCAGCCCTGCACACATACCTCTGCACACACCCCACCCTGTACACACACCAGCCCTGCACATGCACACACCAGCCCTGCACACACACACCCCCACCCCTGTACACACACACACCCTGCACACTTCCCACCCTGCACACACACCCCTGCACACGCACACCCCACCCTGTACACACACCCCTGCACACACACACCCCACCCCTGCACACACGCACACCCCACCCCTGTACACACACCCTGCACACGCACACCAGCCCTGCACACACACCCCTGCACACACACACCCCCCCCCCTGTACACACACACCCCTGCACACGCACACCCCACCCCTGCACACACACACCCTGCACACGCACACCCCACCCCTGTACACACACCCCTGCACACGCACACCAGCCCTGCACACACACTCCACCCCTGCACACTTCCCACCCTGCACACATACTCTGCACACACACACCCCACCTCTGTACACACACAACTCAGCCTGCACACGCACACCAGCCCTGCACACACCCCCCACCCCTGTACACACACACCCCTGCACACTTCCCACCCTGCACACACCCCTGCACACGCACACCCCTGTACACACACACCCCTGCACACACACACCCCACCCCCTGTACACACACACCCTGCACACGCACACCCCAATTTCTGTACACACACACCACTGCATGCACACCCCAATTCTGTACACACACACTTGCACACCACACCACCCCCACCCCTGTACACACACACTCCCCTGTGCACACGCACACCCCACCCCTGTACACACACCCCTGCACACGCACACCAGCCCTGCACACACACCCTGCACACACACACCCCACCCCTGTACACACACACCCCTGCACACGCACACCCCTGTACACACACCCCTGCACACGCACACCAGCCCTGCACACACCCCTGCACACACACACACCCCACTCCTGTACACACACACACACCCTGCACACTTCCTGCCCTGCACACACCCCCCTGTACACACACACTCCTGCACATGCACACCAGCCCTGCACACACACCCCTGCACACACACACCCCACCCCTGCACACGCGCACACACCCCTGCACACACGCACACCCCCTGCACACGCACACCAGCCCTGCACACACACCCCTGCACACACACACCCCACACACACACACACACCGCTGCACACGCACACCTGCACACACACACCCCACCCCTGTACACACACACCCCTGCACACACACCCCACCGCTGCACACGCGCACACACCTCTGCACACACCCCTGCACACACGCACACCCTGCACAGGCACAATTGTTCTGCACACACACCCTGCACACACACACCCTGCACACGCACTCTGCACACACACACCCCACCCCCTGCACACGCGCACACACCTCTGCACACACCCCTGCACACACGCACACCAGCCCTGCACACACACTCCACCCCTGCACACTTCCCACCCTGCACACATACCTCTGCACACATGCACCCCACCCCTGCACACATGCACACCAGCCCTACGCATACACACCCCTGCACACACCCCCCAGCCCTGCACACACCCCCACCCATCCACACACCCTACCCCTGCACACGCACACCTCTGCACACACATACACCAGCCCTGCACACACACAAGCCTTGCACACACCCCACTCCTGCACACACCCCAGCCCTGCACACACCTCTGCACACACACCCCTTCACACACATCTCTGCACACACACACCCCTGCACACATGCACACCAGCCCTGCACACACACCCCTGCACACACACCCCACCCCATGGCTAAGGGCCTAGGAATCTACTGGCAGAACCATTCCCTTTATCCAGCCTTTTTTTTTTGAGATGGAATCTTGCTCTGTCGCCCAGGCTGGAGTGCAGTGGTGTGATCTTGGCTCACCACAACATCTGCCTCCCAAGTTCAAGTGATTCTCCTGCCTCGGCCTCCTGAGTAGCTGGGACTACAGATGTGCCCGACTACACCCAGTTAATTTTAGTAGAGACAGGGTTTCACCATGTTGCTCAGGCTGGTTTCCAACACCTGACTTCAGGTGATCCGCCTGCCTCAGCCTCCCACAGTGCTGGGATTACAGGCGCGAGCCACTGTGCCCGGCCCAGCCTCTTCTGGCAAATGGGGAGGCAGGGTCTGAATCAGGGTGGACCCAGGGCTCCCTTCCACTGTGGGCAGCAGAACCAGGCCGACCACAAGGACAGATGTGGTCCAGGTGTGAGCTGCCCAGCACCAGGTCCTCCTAGGTGGAGTCTAGGGCTCAGTGCCTTCCCATATGGGCCTCTAAGGGTTTGTCTTGAAATGCACACAGGGCAGGATAGGATCCCCCACGCTGCTGCTGCCCCACCCTGGAGGGCCCTGGGGGTGAGGGGACCGCCTGCACAGCCCCCATCTCCCTCAGCTTCTGTTAGGAAGTGTGAAGCCGCTGGGCCCAGGTCACTTCCAGATCTGACTTCGTAGGGA